AAAATTTCTTGCATTTTAAATAATTCCACAGGGAGCATGCCAATGTAACAATAAATAACTCTACATGCCAATGTATTAGATTATAAAAAGTTTCTGCAGAATGATTTGAAAAAAAAATCTACATGCCGACAGATTTAAAAGATACTTCCTAAAACCCTTTAAAAATTTACAGTTCAGGAAACATTTAACACATAGGAGGCCTCTCTGGAGACATGATATTTATTACTTTTGATTATTTACAAATACACAGTTATAGGAGATCAGATAATATGGGGTAAATAGTACAGGAGATGGCTATCTGTGAGATTTTACAGATGATTCCCAGTCATCATCTGACATTATATCTTACCATCATGCAATTATTATCTCTGAACATGCACCTGCTATCTCTTGTATATTTTTTTATTTATTTAATTTTTGTTTAAGGAAAAATTTGATTTTCTCAATTTTCTAAATTTTCAAGGTGGGTAATAATGTGGGGTTGTTTTCATAGAGTGAAGGAATCAGTTAATTGAGAAATTAATGTTGATTTCTTTTTCCAGCTAAGTCAGCCTGTCTGTCCATTTAAACCAGACTAATTTGCTATTGATATACCTGAAAATTGATACAGTCAAAGTGAGACATACCCATTATACAAAGTTAGAATGGTAAGGGTCAAGGTCATTGGGAATAAAAAAATCTGCTATTTATACTTTTCCTTGTCTAAAAGCTGGAATGGGGTTTTTATTTTCACTCTTTGTAGAATACAGGTGCCAGATTCACAGATGTTTTCTTGCTTATCATAGGCTATAGGCTTATTCTGTAAATGATGATATCCACCATAAAACGTTCACAAAAACAACATAGTTAATGATGTATTTATGTTGATGCAGAATGAAACCATTCTGATAAACCTTGATAAAGTTATTTTTATGAAACTGTAAAAAAATGCATTAGGCAGTGCCAGATTAAGCTTGAAAATAATGGATACTGTAGTTAATATATCAGGTTTGTGATAAATAAAATGTTTCACACTGTTATTGTTATATGTTCAGGCAATAAAGAACAAAGCATTCATGCATGGGTTTTTAGCTCACCTGAGCATATGCTCAGGGTGAGTTATTAGGATCACTCTTCGTCCGTCGTACGTTGTCCGTTCACACTTTTCAAACGACATCTCCTCTGAAACCATAAGGCAGATCATAATGAAACTTCACAGGGATGTTCCTTGTGTGAAGCCTTAACAAAGTTGTTCAAAGAATTCCATTCCATGCAGAACTCTGGTTGCCATGGCAACCAAAAGAAAAAACTTTAAACATCTTCTTCTAGAAAACCCAAAGAGCTAGAGCTTAGATATTTGGCATGAAACATCTTCTAGTGAGTGTCTACCAAGATTGTTCAAATAAAATCCCTGGGGTCAAAATTGGCCCCGCCCCAGGGGGTCATTGATTTTCCCTATATGCATATAGTAAAAACTTAAAAAAATCTTCTTTTAAAGAACCCAAAGAGCTAGAACTAAGATATTTAGCATGAAACATCTTCTAATCGGTGTCTACCAAGATTGTTCAAATAAAAGCCCTGGGGTCAAAATTGGCCCCGCCCCAGGGGGTCATTGATTTTCCCTATATGCATATAGTAAAAACTTAAAAAAATCTTCTTTTAAAGAACCCAAAGAGCTAGGCCTAAGATATTAAACATGAAACATCTTCTAATGAGTGTCTACCAAGATTGTTCAAATAAAAGCCCTGGGGTCAAAATTGGCCCGCCCCAGGGGGTCATTGATTTTCCTTATATGCATATAGTAAAAACTTAAAAAAATCTTCTTCTGAAAAACCCAAAGAGCTAGAGCTTAGATATTTGGCATCTAATATGTTCTAATGTATGTCTACCAAGTTTGTTCATATAAAAGCCCTGGGGTCAAAATTGGCCCGCCCCAGGGGGTCATTGATTTTCCCTATATGCATATAGTAAAAACTTTAAAAAATCTTCTTTTAAAGAACCAAAAGAGCTAGACCTAAGATATAAAGCATGAAACATCTGCTAATAAGTGTCTACCAAGATTGTTCAAATAAAAGCCCTGGGGTCAAAATTGACCCCGCCCCAGGGGGTCATTGATTTTTCCTATATGCATATAGTAAAAACTTAAAAAATCTTCTTTTAAAGAACCCAAAGAGCTAGACCTAAGATATTAAGCATGAAACATCTTCTAATAAGTGTCTACCAAGATTGTTCAAATAAAAGCCCTGGGGTCAAAATTGGCCCCGCCCCAGGGGGTCATTGATTTTCCCTATATGCATATAGTAAAAACTTAAAAAGTCTTCTTCTGAAAAACCCAAAGAGCTAGAGCTTAGATATTTGGCGTAAAACATGTTCTAATGGATGTCTACCAAGTTTGTTCAAATAAAAGCCCTGGGGTCAAAATTGGCCCAGCCCCAGGGGGTCATTGATTTTCCCTATGTGCATATAGTAAAAACTCAAAAAAATCTTCTCTTAAAGAACCCAAAGAGCTAGAGCTAAGATATTAAGCATGAAACATCTTCTTATCAGTGTCTACCAAGTTTGTTCAAATAAAAGGCCTGGGGTCAAAATTGGCCCCGCCCCAGGGGGTCATTGATTTTCCCTATATGCATATAGTAAAAGCTTTAAAAAATCTTTTAAAGAGCTAGAGCTAAGATATTTAGCATGAAACATATTCTAATGGGTGTCTACCAAATTTGTTCAAATAAAAGCCCTGGGGTCAAAATTGGCCCTGTCCCATGGGGTTATTGATTTTCCCTATATACATAGAGTAAAAAGTTAAAAATCTTCTATTAAAGAACCAAAAGAGCTAGAGCTAAGATATTTAGCATGAAACATGTTCTAATGGATGTTTACCAAGTTTGTTCAAATAAAAGCCCTTGGGTCAAAATTGGCCCTGCCAGGGAGAGGGGGGAGGGGGCAAAAGTCATTGTTATTCATTATTTGTGTATAGTAAAAACTTAACATCATGAAATATCTTTTAATGGGTGTCTTCCAAGTTTGTTCAAATAAAAGCCCTTTGGTTTAAACTGGCCCGGCCCTGGGGGCCTATGTTCAGGTGAGCGACCCCAGGGCCATCATGGCCCTCTTGTTTTTATGTACTCCTTACTGTTATCAAAATAATGTCTGTTAAATTTTGTTGTGAAATGAAATTATTCTGTAATTTTAGGAGGTTTTTTTTGTTAGTGCATTTTGTTGATGCAAAATTCAAAGAAAACTTTCTTTGTGTTATTTCAAAATTATTTTATTAATGAAAATTTTTGTACCAACTTACATAATAATCAGTGAGGTTTAACTCTTAGCCTGAATATACCCATGCCATGAGTGCAGACCAATGTCAGGCAGCTGGCACATCGTTACTGTCTATTCATGGTCTGCACTGTTAGCTAATCAGTCAATATTTGTTTTGAAATTTTCTCTAAAAATGATAAATGGTTTTGTCCGGATAAAAAGCCAGACAAGTCCATTTAAGGTATTTAGCATGATAAGGGTTAAATCTATATATGTCTAATAAAGAGAAGAGAGATGGGATAAACTATGGTGATCAGGGTTGTGGTTATAGTCAGTAATTGATTATCAGACTGATACATAATACAGTAATCTAATAATGTTTTTTTGTAGAGAAGTTAAACAGGGAACATGATAGATATATACCTATGAATTAATGATTCATTTTAAGTATATAATTGTTATGTAAAATAATTATGATTTTGTTAGTTTTAGGGCTTTTAAAGATAATTACATATGGATTTGTAAACTGGAGTAGTTGATGGAGTCCCCCCCCCTTGCCCCATCCTTGTGCCCTATGGTGTCCTTGCCCCACCCTTGTGCCCTACGGTGTCCTTGCCCCATCCTTGTGCCCTATGGTGTCCTTGCCCCATCCTTGTGCCCTATGGTGTCCTTTGCCCCACCCCTGTGCCCTACGGTGTTTAAGTTTGTTACTAATGCTTTGTTTGTAGCTCAATATTGTTGTTTAGTGAACATCACTCTTCCTTTTTGATTTCTCCTTTCTTTATATTATATAACCAGCGTCATTATCATCAAAATCATAATAAACTTATACACAAAAGAAGAATTTTAACTTGTTTTATGATACTAAATAAAGATAAATCAAAAGGGATTTTGATATTAAAGGGGCTCGCTCCACTGTCAGGTCAAAAAGCCTAAAAACACCAAAGTGGAAGTTTGTACATTATTAAGATCATTTGAAAAAACTCAATATGGAAAATCTGCTAAGGATCATAAAGGAATAAACTCATATTTAATTGAATCTGGATAAATTGAGAATGATTTTTGGCCTGATTTTTGGGTCATTTTACATTATAGAAATGATGGTTCTAGAAAAAGCACATTCTAGCTAGTATACATAGCCTGATGAAAACTGAAAACCCAAAAATCGTAGAAGAACCCTTCAAATGATACTGAAAAGTTTATCATTTAAAGTTGAACTGCATATAACATATTTTCAGTCTTTATAAATCTTAATAAATATGTTGAGAAGTTGTAAGGTACTTGTGGATATAACATTAAGCTAGCACAACATTTTGGTTACTTTAACTAGGTTTTAAATACTGGAGAATAGTGGGGAGGGGGGAATTTGTTAAATAGACAAAAGAGTATTAAATACTAAGTATCTCTTGTAGGTACTAGGTGGAATCAATATATTAATACATTTGTATTTTGAACCAGTCTCTTGTGAAATAATGTTGATGTACATCTTGAGGTTAAGAAGGTTATTTAGAGGAGCTGTGTCAAACGTAACATAGTCATTATACATGTATTGGTTTATAAAATACCGTTTGGTTTCCATTTAACATCCCTCCCTGTTGCCCCCACCCCCAAATTAATGCCCCCACCACCACCACATTTTGTAGAAGAAAAATCTTACCTTATAGATTTATAATCTGTAATGAAAAAGCAATCCAAAAAATTCAAATATTTTTATTTAAAAAATAACAATGACACTCCAGTAATGTAAAATCATTAAAAGAAATAATCCCGGATGTAAAAAGTCCATGCTTTTCCAGGGATTTCCATGGAAAATAAGAGGCTGGAGTATTGGAACAAAATTTTCCAGCCTTTTCCAGCCTGTAGCTGAGAAAAAATGGGCTGGAAAAACAGGGAAAAAACATGGAACATTTTCCATGCTGCATGGAATATTTTCCATGTTTTCCATGGAAAAGCATGGACTTTATTCCATGCTTTTCCATGTACATGGAGTATTGGAACAAAAGTATGGATTTTTTTCCAGGGTATTCCATGTGTCTGCCAACCAGGTAGAGGCTGGACTTTTTACCATGGTAAATAGTCCAGCCTTGATGGAATAACATGGAAAAAAATCCAGCCTAATTCCAGCATCCCTGAATGATCTTAAAATGTAAAATTCTCTGACGGAATTCAGCACAGGAATGTTTAGGGTGGACTTTTTATAAGTTTAACATGATCACATATTTCTTTCACAAAATTTAATACATATCCTTTAGTCCAAATACAGAATAGAACATCCTACATTCACTATAGCACAAACAGTTTTTTTACTATCTGCAGGTTTGGTAGGTTCTGGTTGTCTTATAAATTTTAGCAATTATTTGCTCTTAGTCTGTCAATGAGGAACCTTTTTTAATCTTAAATTTGTTTCAAGTGTTTCTGATTATTTAAATTACTATTTCTTTTATTGATGTCCATTTTCAGTCCTCTGCCTGTGTTTCCTAGAACTTCTTGTGGTTGTGCTCACCTTTAAAGATAAAATTCATAATAAATTTAACACAGATGTGGTAATGACTTATGTTTTATTGCATATAAATATTATGCAGTTATACTTCGTATCTTTTAATAACATCAAATCTAATGTTCCAACAGTATTTACTATTAAATATTCACTTATAATGCTTATGCATATTAGAAAATACTAAAGCAATGCAGTATATCTTATTTCAAAGTGCACAAGTGTTTAAGAATTTCTCTCACAAACATGTATAAGAATTAAGTCAATTTGTGACAATATTTATCACCCAGTATGTATTTTTTCAAGAAAAGACATGGAATAAAAAAGTACACATATTGAGATTTAAAAATATACCTTTTCAGGATTAATTCTGCACATCATTATTCAACACTATTGGTAATTCTCACAGTCAGCACTTATGTCCCAGCCTGCAAGTTATGTAATTGTATAATGTAAAATGTAATCATTGAAAACACAACACATACATGTAAATAACAAATGATTATCATATGATGACCCTGTTCAGCGGGTACAAAACTACTGATTGTACCATTTAGTCCTATTTAATCAAATTGATTTAATTTGTTTTATTTGTAGGAAATGAAAAAGATCAGTAATAACAATTGTCATTTTAACAATATACATTGTAAAGAAATCATTGAATAATTTATATTTTACAGACTATACATGTATAGATTAAAAACAATTTTCAGAAAAACAAATGCATGGAGTTAAAAATATAAAAACAACCTTGATCTCTTGTTACAAATGTTGATAGTTTGATATATAACCTTTTTCTGCATTGATGTAACTTAAGGTTTATAAATACCTGATTCTGTTGTATATCTCTTTGTCCCTGGTGATTCTAATTGTTATCATACCAATACTTAAACACTTTAAAGTCTTAAACAAAACAATATCTCCAAAACTGCTAAATTATCAAGTACATCCACTGTAATTTGCACTCTTAGCTGACCCAGATATCTTAGAATTCAAAATTTACAACAGTTACTGGACAGGTCTATCATTATGTAAAGCAGGGTTAATCTACTCATCATTTTAACTTTTATTCTTTGAGTGTAAAAGAAAATATCAAATAGCTAATAAATATATAGATTTTAAAGATCATTACAAATTTTTGTACAAAAAAGATTGCAATGTCCTTCTAGACACACTCTGCATATGAAATTTATAATGTTATCTCTCCCCAAAATAATCACATGGAAAAGCCTGATCTGAAATGACCAGTGGAGTAAATTAGTCATGCGCAGACGGTGAGAAAATGCTGGTCAATGAGTTTTATCAGAGCTCTGATCTGTGTAGTGTAAAATCTCAGTGGATGTAGTATTTATTTTCCTAAATATTGGTCAATTTAATATAGAATATATATGAGTTTAATACAGAATATATATGAGATTCTTTCATGCACTGTTTTGTTTTGTTTGTTTATTTATTTATTGTTATCCAAAAACATGAATTCTTACAATTTAAAAATGGCAAGTAATGCAATCCCATCTTGATTATTATAGTGTCTGAATGATTTAATCACAGACTTAAATTAATCTATAGTTAAACCTAAAGCCTGTAATTAAATGGATATTATTACACTGTACATAACTTCATGTAGATTTATTTAAATAATAATAAAAAATTATGTATTTTGAACAATCAATTCATTTATGTCTTTAGCATAGACATTTTTTCTGAGTTACCCTTTTTCAACTACATAAAAAGTATAAAGTGTCAAATTTCAAATCATTTACAGTAACTTGCATTAAGATAAATGATGATTTTATATTTTCTTCGTAAATTTACAATATTGTGCTGAATATATATAAAGTAAGATTTCTTGTTGTAATTTTTACAAGTTTTTTCCAGCATACTTAGAAAAAGTTTAACACATTTCCAGCATCAAAAAAATCTAAGTTCCACTTTCCATGCTACATGGAAGTAAAGTCCATGGTTTTCCAGGCTTTTACCACAAATGTCCAGCCAATTTCCAGCCTATTCCAGCAATGCTGGAAATGGCTGGACAAAAAAAGTCCACATAGCATGGAAAAAATACTTATTTTCCATGAATTTCCATGAAATTCCATGCTTTTCCATAGTTTTCCAGGGTTTACCAGCCTCTCTTCCAGGCTTACCCTGGAAAATCTACACCCGGGATCCTGTGTCATATATTAGATCATAATAATGCATAATGTTTTTTATAATTGAATAGTATCTTAATAAACATATTTAAGATAAATATATTTGAAGCACATTTTTATTTATAGCCCCCCATCCCCCTTTTAGAAAAATGAAAGCCCCTGGAGGCGTTAAATGGAAACAATATGGTACTTAAGAAAGAAAAAAATTCTTGATAGTTACAGATAATTTGTATATGTAATCAACTATGTATGAGATAAATGTGTTAATACAATTTTCGTCTCTTTTTCAGTTTCGACACCCTGGAATCAATTGCATTGATCATGTTGATTAACAAGACCATCTGCAGATGAATATACTTCCATTAGATGCCCAAGATATTATGTTTAAGATTTCTATCTACCGGAATCAACATAAAAACTTGGCAACATTCTGACGAGTAAGGATAGAATAATCTCCAGTGAAATTAAAAAAAAACGGAAGTTATATTTTGCGAGTATGTGTTAAACTGGGGGCGAGAAATGTCAATTTAAGAACATAGACTGTGATACCTTGTTTATGGAGAAAAAGCATGATTCTGGGCGCTTGTGTGTGCTGTATAGAGTACAGTCTATTTGTAAGAGAAACCAGTCAACTTTAAGGTTTCCATGGATACAAAATGGCTGCCATATATCTTATTTTCCTGTGTTCATTTTTAATCAGTCATGAAACTTTTGGATTAGATTATCAGGAATATGGAAGAAATAAAAACTCTTTCCTGGAAAAGACGGAAATTGAAAAATATTGGAAAAGAATAAAACTAATAAAACGTTCAGTCGAAAATAATATTGGAGAAAATGATGCAAATTCAGATTTAGTAACAACAACTTCTGCAAATTCAATATATAATTATGCCCCAGGATCAGGAAACAACAACAACATAAGTGTTAAACCAATGAATTCAAGTGCAAATTCTGGCGAAAATCAAAATGATGAAAACTCACTACCCTCTCCACAAATAGGTGATACATCAAACCAGGGTAATCATAATAATGATCTGAATTCTCAAAACTCTAGCAATACAAGTAACCAAATAAATGATATTGATTCAATGATTATCTCAGGAAATAACACTGTAAATAACAATAATAATTCAACTGCCATATCACAAAGTGCAATATCCTCATCCAACCATAGCAGTGAATATGTTCGCGAACATGCTCTATCCACATCACAAAATGAGACTAAAAATAACACTGTTGACAATTTCGCTACACCAGTAACTTCAACAAGACAAAGTGCCTCTAATGCAATTCTGAGTACCACAGATAAAATGGCTAATATGCTTGGTGGAAACAATTTAAATACTTCTCCTCCACCTACTCAAGTGGATAACAAAATGAATAACGAGATCCCAGAAATGTCAACACAAGTGAGCCCGTTAATACAAACTACCTCAGCTGCACAAAATATTATTACAACCACTCCGCTTACAACGATTCCTATGCAGAATGAAATAATTACTGAATCGTCTGTAAATTTTACCACAACAGTAAAGACTACGATTGAATCAAATGAAAACAATAGCAATATTTTTCCAACTTTGGCCTCAACAGCGTCTAATGAAACTTTAAAGGATTTGCCTCAAGGAAACAATGAAACTGTCTATAATAGCAGCAATCCAGCCAATGTGGTTCCTGAAAATTCTCCAAAACCAACTTTAAGTGCAGGAACTGATAAAGTGACTGACACAGCTGTTACAGCTGAACCAGAAACAAACAATGAAACCATCACCAATGCTCCTGATTTTGAACCAGAGCCTGAACCAGAGCCTGAAAATAATTCAACTGTTGTGGAACCAGAGCTTACAAGTGAACCTGAAGGCAGTAGCAATGATACTGAGATTGCAAATCCAGAAACTACTGTACAAACAGTAACCAGCAGCATTAAGCAAGGACTTAATTCATCAAGTAATCAAGGCAGCACTGATTCTCCAAATGTTGGAATAACTACTCAGAATACAATTAGCAATAATTCAACTGATACAGAAAGTGGTCCTGAGCCTACAGGAGAACCTAATAATAAACTAACAAATGGAACTGTTGAACCTGAACCAAGTGCTAAACCAGAACTTACAGATTCACCAGTTACTAATTCATCAACATCTGAACAAAGTGGTAATGCTGAGCCTACACCTGAAACAGAGGAAACAACTACATCAAGTACAATAAGAACAACTACTTCAAAGGTAGAAGTAGATGTAACCCCTGAACCAGAAAGCGAAGCAACTTCTGAACCAGAACCTGAAAATAGTACTAAGTCAGATAACATTGGTAATACAACAACAGTGTCGAGTAATCCTTCAACACTTAAACCAACAACAGTTGTAACAACTGTTGAAAAAGTACCAGAAACAACAATTAAACTAACAACTGTTGAAATAGTAGCAGAAACAACAATTAAACCAAAAACTACCACAAACCCCGAGCCTAGACCAGAGACAAGTCATGAACCAGTGACTAGTGCTCACCCAGAACCATCAGAAAATGTCACTACAGGTAGTGCTATTGTAGAACCTACTGCTGAACCAGAAATATCTAGTTCAACTGAAAAAACACATACGGGCAAAAACAAACAGGTTCGTTCCCAAAAACCCCAACTGAAGACCAAGTGATAAAATGGGAGGGGAAATAAGATAAAAACCCTAAAATCTGAGAAAAGACAATAAAACAAGTAAATGGGGAAGGGAAAACCCAAGATTTTTAGGGGAAAAATCCCTTTGAGAGCCAGGCCCCAGAGTGGAAACTAGCAAAAATTTTGGCGAGAAGCGTGGGATTTTTCATGTGTTTTTTTGGGAAATTTTACATTCTCTGTGTTGGGTTTTAATATTTTTTTTGTGAAAATTTAAATAAGATTTTGGAATAGGAGCATTTGCTGAGAAAAAGCTTTAAAATTTTATCACTTTGGGCATTTTACTTGTGATATCTATTTGTGTTCTACGTGCCACATATTTAATGGTGGATGCTTATAATTCATTGGGAACATTTCCATTCGGTTTGGATTATTTCATTTACAGTACAGCATTTCCATGTATGACGGCATTATTCAGTATATTATTTTACGCTTTACTTCTTGCTACAAGAGTGCGGGCCATTTCTAAAAAAGTTCAGAAACTATGGGTGCTAGTTTTAATTGTGTCATTGCATTTCTTATTATCAATAGCTACAGATATAGTTGTTGGATTATTTTCAAGTGCTTCAGTAATGATATTTATATGTCAAGCATTTTTCATACTATGGGGATTATTGATGTTCGTAGGGTATTTGGTGTTGTTTCGAAAACTATATAAAGGTGCTATGACACATCAGAAGCTAATGACGGGAAGCCCCAATGAGTATAAACATAACACGTCTCATACATATCAAGTCAAGCCTACTAAACAGAGGTACACACTCTGTCTTGCAGTGAAAATTACGTTCATTTCGGCATTTTTCGGTGTTGCTATAATAGGATTTGAGCTTTACGGGATGTTCGGTGTGTATGGTGTGCTGAAGTTTGAGACAAAGCCTGATCCATGGCCTTGGTGGACATATCATACTATTGTGAGAAGTTTGGAAATTTTAATGTGCTTAGGTGTTGCATATGTTGCTAGTCAACCGTTGAGATATAAAATGAAGAAAGATATTAATCATAAGATATACGATTATTTATTACCGTGTAGTATGTGCTGTTGTCCGAACAAACTGGATCAGAATGAAGTATTCAGCTCTTCAATAAGTTTGGATTTTGTTGTCTCAGAAACAGACCATTTAAGCTGGTTGAAAAAAATTAGGAACAAGTCGCCTTCTCCGAAGGCCCCATATCCTCCGCACACAGCAGAAAAATATTCTGATCCCGATGCGACATTATTAGTTCGTAAAATAAAACGGACTAGTAAACCATCAATGTTGGTGGTTGAGGATGGTTTTGTAAGAATACGACGGGAAGATGAAAATTTACCATCAAACCAGTATGAACTTGATTCTCGATCGTCTCATTCCAGTGATATGAATGTGGGACCAGATGGGCAAAATACGGGTGCTTTAACAAATGTTGTGAATTTGAATTACACAGGTCATAGTAGTCCAAATGTTGGACATGAAAATGTGCCGGGTATAAATTTCGAGAACTATTTACTGCAGGGAAGTGCTTCAAATCAAGGATATATTGATAATGATGAAAGTGCTGATGAAACTGATATAGATATTGTTGTGACCGAGAGTGAACAGGAGAGTGATAATCAAGATATTCCTGAAAGTGCCGAGAGTGGTGCATCAAATAAAAGTGCAGATATATTTAGGCCACTGTCAATGATTGATTTGGCAGCAAGCATGGAATCAGAGTTAGACAGAGCATTTCATTCCAACTGTGTGGAAGAAGCAGACGTTATTTCGCACAATAGTTTACCCCCATCATTTGATAGGTATGATAAAAATTCAAGTGATTGTGCTTTTAATGAAAGTCTTTGTGACAAGTATTGTGATAATAACGCTGGGGGTGCTGTGTCAAACCTTGATTCCACAAACTATTCGTCAGATTCTGCCGACGACCAGGGTAAATCAAGTGATGCACGATTAATGAGGCCCCTCGTGCGGAGATGTAAGAGTGATGACTCTAAGTCAAGTTCACCCAAGTATAAACATTTTGAAAAAAACAAGTACTTCTCGGTTTCGAGTGTGGATACAATAGGGAAAGATGAAGAATTTACTACACACTATGGTTCTAATGGAGAAATGCGAACCGAATTATGATTTGATATGATAACAGTTAGTTTAAACTGCAGAAGTGCGAGTAATTGTATAACGATGATATATTATATAAAGCTATGATATTAAATCTATTAGTCAATTGTACCGTATTTGTACATGTAGATAAAATCTACAGTCATGTCTCCTATTCCATTATTTAGTGTTTCCATTTTTGATATTTTGACATTATATGTATTCATTTAGTACTTTTTGAGATTAAATTTTTTTTACATATGTCTATACTGCATGGTACTTTTGCATGAATAATTATACCCCCGCACAACAAAGTTGTAAGAGGGGTATACTGGAATCAGCTTGTCCGGCCGTCCGTCCGGCCGTCGGTTTTTTCTTGTCCGCCCAATAACTTAAGATTCCTTTGACCCTTAGTCTTCATATTTGGCATGGAGGTTAGTCATGATTAGTAGATGACCCCTATTGATTTTGAGGTCACTAGGTCAAAGGTCAAGGTCACAGGGGCCTTGACTTCAAAAAGCTTGTCCGCCCAATAACTTAAGATTCCTTTGACCCTTAGTCTTCATATTTGGCATGGAGGTTAGTCATGATTAGTAGATGACCCCTATTGATTTTGAGGTCACTAGGTCAAAGGTCAAGGTCACAGGGGCCTTGACTTCAAAAAGCTTGTCCGCCCAATAACTTAAGATTCCTTTGACCCTTAGTCTTCATATTTGGCATGGAGGTTAGTCATGATTAGTAGATGACCCCTATTGATTTTGAGGTCACTAGGTCAATGGTCAAGGTCACAGGGGCCTTGACTTCAAAAAGCTTGTCCGCCCAATAACTTAAGATTCCTTTGACCCTTAGTCTTCATATTTGGCATGGAGGTTAGTCATGATTAGTAGATGACCCCTATTGATTTTGATGTCACCAGGTCAAAGGTCAAGGTCACAGGGGCCTTGACTTTAAAAAGCTTGTCCGCCCAATAACTTAAGATTCCTTTGACCTACAGTCGTCATATTTGGCATGGAGGTTAGTCATGATTAGTAGATGACCCCTATTGATTTTGAGGTCACCAGGTCAAAGGTCAAGGTCACAGGGACTTTGACTTCAAAAACTTTGTCTGCCCAATAACATTAGATTCCTTTGACCCACAGTCGTCATATTTGGCATGGATGTTGATCATGATTAGTAGATGAACCCTTTTGATTTTTGAGGTCACTGGATCAAAGGTCAAGGTCATAGGGACTTTGACTTCAAAAAGTTTGTCTTCCCATTAACTTAAGATTCCCTTTGACCAACAGTCTTCATATTTGGTATGGATGTTGATCATGACTATAAGGTGACCCCTATTGATTTTGAGGTCACTGGGTCAAAGGTCAAGGTCACAGGGACCTTGACAAAACAAAAGCTTTTCTTCTCAATTGCTAAAGAATGTCCTGTCCGCAATGTATTGATTTTGACATTTTCACATTTGAAGCATGTAGAATACATAACTTAGCAATGCACTGTCTTAGTAACCTTGGCAGGGAGGTTGTTCTTGAGCTCTAAATGGCCACTGTTGATTCTGACAAAGTGGTATGCGGGGGTATTCAAGCCATGATAGTGGCAGTTCTAGTTAATATTGCATTTCAGAGAATTGGAATAAATAAAACCATCCATTCACATAATACTGCATACTTATCTTACTTTGTATAATGGACTTGCCCAGGTTTGATTATGTAACAGTTCATTAGTATTTTATTGGATTTCAATATACAAGTTCTAAAATTGAGTTGCTCACATTAAGGAGCCTTGTCAAATTACACAGATTTACCAGCTGGCCTGGCTCTTTACTATTACCAACCGATGTGTTCTTTTAGCTGTACCGTTAATAAGGCAGTCTTACTGTCATGCTTTCCCACCATAAAGATTTCTAACATTGGCCAATATCGTTATAAATCGGCCATTTCTGGAATGTTATTTATCACAATCTTGGAATTCAATTATTTTGAACCGTTTATAACCGGAATTTAGTACATAGGAGTAAAGTGTGAGCATGACTGTAAATAATCAAATGCCCAAGATTTTGAAAAAATAACTTTCCCGGAAATAACTGATTTGCTACGATATTTGCCGATGTTTTTTTTTTTTTTTTTTGTGTGGGAAATCATTACAGTGAGACTACCTTAAAGTTAATTTCCTAAGTTTTCTATACAATATGTCACTGTCAATTGAAAAAGTTAACCTGAAAGAGCTTAGTTTATTTCCTAGATTTACACTATAATACACACTTTTATCAGTAAGAAATTGTTAAACCAGTAAAAACTTTCTTTGTCTGCTCATAATTTTTTTTTACATTTTTAGTCAATTAATGATTTGTTGATATACATGTATATTTTCTATACAGATTTTTTTAGATTAACAAAAGCTTTCAAATAACTGATGCGGAAATTTTATTAGAAAATCATTTCTTTCCGAAAGTATATTTTAGTTTTATGAAGAAAGGAGATTTATTAGGCTAATTAAATTGCAGTGTAGAGCTTTGACATCAAAAGTAATGAAAGTGTAGATTTCTTTTAATAAGTGTTTGAAAATGAAGTGTATAAAGTAAAATATGCAGTTTACATGGTAATAGAGTTATGATAAAATTTCAAGCTATGCAATTTTATATTTAAATTGACTAAAAAATTATCAAAATCATAAATTTTTTCTCCAATACTTAATGCATGTGCTAAGGGAGACAATCTATTTGTACCTTTGGTATACTGTATTTGAGGAGTTATCTTTCTTGAGAAGAAAAAAAAAAGCAGTAGTTTGCAGTTTGAAAGTAAAAACAGAACTACAGTATGTAAATTGTAAAATATTTATAGGTGTGAATAATTATAGTTTTATATGCTCAATAATATTTATCATACAACTACAGTAACTGTTATGTATGATTTAGCTGTTCCTACCTACATAGTGAAGCTCAAGTACTGATATATCAATATAGATCTATGAACTCTCATATGCCGGTCAGAACCCTGTTCATGTTTTAAAGATATTTTTCTAGTTTTTTCTTGTAAACTACTACATAAATGGTACAATGATATTCAAGTCTGATTTATTTAATCCCTTTTATGTTTACAATAAGTTCAGGTCTAGTGTATTTCACTTGTGGTTTAAAGATAAAATGGGTTTGCGACCAGCATGGATCCAGACCGCGCAGCCTGATCAGGATCCATGCTGTTCGCTAAAAAACTCTATAACAAGTAAAGAAACTGATAGCGAACAGCATGGATCCTGATCAGTCTGCACGGATGCGCAGGCTAGTCTGGATCCATGCTGGTCGCAAACCCATTATGTTGGTTTTGTCGTGACGTGGCTCAAATAAATGGTGCGATTTCTGGTTTGGACTCCCAGGAAGCAGTCAGCTGGTGTGACTTATGCATTTGACGCATGTCTAGGTCCCCAAAATGTGGTAAAACAAACAAACAAAACAAGGGGAATGTAATTTAAATTGACTGGTACAATTGTAGTTGAAAATATTCAAAACAAATCTCTTAAAATTTTGTAAGTTATTCATTATTCAAACTATTTCCACTCTAAAGCAATACTGATATTACATAATTTAATCTCATTTATTTACTATTTATTAAATTTTATTAACATAATTACCTATTTATGCCTTTGATGTGCGAATTTATTCCTTAGATATTAGGTTAAGAGATATTATTAGATTATTTTTCTTTTTATGTCATTTAATCATGCACACTAATTTATATATTGTATAAATAAAACTCATTTTGAATTAGTTACCTAGCAACTATAATCAAAATATGCTTTATTTCTATGCAGAAATTTCCTTGTTGATAACATCATATTGTTTTATATGTACCCATGTATGTATTATTTTGTGACAAAAATGGTCTTTTCATGAACGGTTTTTTGAATATGCCATTTTCTATGTAATATTTATATTGACAAAAATCCAAGAAAATTTTGAAAAAAATATATGAGAAAAAATTTGATACTGTGTTTTAGTTTTCTGTTGGACCTTTACCATGTTAAAAATTTTAATATATATATAACCGTACCTGCCCATCTTTCAATCTCATGAATATTGGGGAAAATTTCAAAATATGAAACTTACTGACTAGAGCTCAGTGCAGATCCTGATCAGACAGCAATGTAACTGACCAACATGTCTTTTATAATTTCCAATAAACCATGATACATGTAGGAAAAATTGTCACTGAACCTTCTGAAAACAAGAGGTTTGTAAAAAATTCATGCTGCCATCATCAGAATATCGGAAGTTGCATGCAATGTTGCTTGGGAACCGTTTTGGCATATAGGTCAGTGTGATTTTGACCTTTGAACTTGCCCCCATAAAATTCAAAAGGGGTCCTCTACTACCAAAGACCAATGCAACCTGTGAAGGCCCATGGGCTGTCGAGTTATTAATCTGAAACTTTTTTGACATACAAGGTAAAATGTGACATTGACACCATATAGTGATCATTTAGTGTAAAATTTTAGTGTTGGTCCATGGGTTGTCTAGAAGTTTTGAGTGTACTTTGACCCGTTAACCCAAAATCCATTCCAAATCAATGGGGTCATCTACTGGCCAATGCCAATGCAACAGTGAAGGGTTCAAGGGCTATTGGTTGGAACCATTTTTAGCTTGACTTTATTTTTTTGAAGAAAAAAAAGAGGTATTGTTACATTATTTGTTTGCCATTGCCATCTGCAAGATAACCTTTGAAGTTTTTGGTGTATCATCTTCATACTTGGCCACAAAAACCCTTTGCTTGACCAGACTAACCTTGACCTTCATTCATTAATTACCTTGACATTCAAGGTCAAATGCCTAAATTTGTTGGTTTTTAGTTCACCTGACCACCAAGTGGTCAAGGTGAGATATGTTGATGGGGCTATGTCCATCGTCATGCGTTATCAACATTTGGGTTGTTAACACTCTAGCAGTTTTGAATGGCTCATAATCAAACTTTGTCAGAATGTTTGTCTCAATGAAATACAGGTCAAGTTTGAATATGGGTCATCTCTGGTCAAAAACTAGGTCACAGGAGCTAAAATTAGTAAAATCTTGTTAACACTAAAGTTATTGATAAGGAAGGTTGTTTTGATGTATTCTAGGTCACATTCAATATGGGATATCCCGGTTCAAAAACAAGGTCACAGGAGCTAAAAGTAGAAAAATCTTGTGAACACTATAGTAGCTGCAGCTCGACTTAAGAGGTATTGTTATTGTCATGTCGACGTTGCCGTCTGCAAACTTGTATGTTTATCATAACTTTTTAAGGTCTTGGTGTACTTGGCCACAACAATCCTTGGGACAAGACCTTTTAGTAGACCAGACTAACATTGACCCTCAAGGTTAAATGTCTAAATTTTGCTTGTTTTTATTAGTGGCTTTAATTTTGTTATTTTTAAATTGATTGTCTTCAAACTTGAACATAATATACTTTTAGGATAGACCTTCAAGTTGACCAGACAGACCTTGACCTTTACTCATAGCTGACCTTGACCTCCAAGGTCAAACATCCAAATTTTGCTTGTTTCTTGCTTTTAGTGGCTATAACTTTTTTATTTTTGAATGGATTGTCTTCGAACTTGAATATAATAATCTTTAAGGATAGCCCTTAAAGATAAACAGACTCTGACCTACTCCCATATATGACCTTGACCTTGAAGGTCCAATTAATGAATTATTTGCTTTACCTTTGTAATGCTCCCCTTCGAAGAGGGGGTAGGTATAGTGTTTTGTTAATGTCGGTCTGTTGACATTTAAGACCCCTGTGACCTTGACCTTTAACATAGCGACCCCAAAATCAATAAGGGTCATCTACTAGTTATGACCAATTAGAATGTGAAATATGAAGACTGTGATAAATAATTTTCAAGATAATCAGCGGAGACCATTCTGACATTAAAGGCCCCTTTGACATTGACCTTTGAACTAGTGACCTGAAAGTCAATAGGGGTCATCTACTAGTAAGGTGAAATATAAAGACTTTGTAATGAATAGTTTTCAAGATAATCAGCGGAAACCGTGTGGTCTACTGACGGACAGACATAAGCAGAACAATTTGAAGGGGACATAATAAGTGTTTCTAAAATTAGATGTAGGCCTCCATCCATCGCCTGAAACCATTGTTGTGGTGTTGAAAACTTATAAAAGCTTTTTGTTTTCTATAAATAGAATGTAGTTACTTATTACCTAATATTTACCTTTTGATGTCCTTAGTTTGCTCAGGAGTACTCTTTAATGGAAAAAATCTAAT